CTTCCAAGATGCAAAAATAATTTGCATGGGTAGTGTATCTTGAACACCATTTTTTATGAATGCTGGGGACGCAGTATTAAAAGGATAGTCTCAAAATATATAGGTCTGGGAAATGTTTAAGGCATACTGCGTCGCTATAAAATGAATTGCACTACTATTTTCACAATTTTATTGATATTTGGTGTCAAATACACATATCTTGGTATATTTGAAGTCCCAAAACGGCTTAGTTTCAGAAATATCCCAATTTTAAATTCAAAAATGACCGTTAGCTCCGCACCCTCCGCTCATTTGCGCCGCACCCAATATTTCCTACAGGCTCTGTCTGCATAGGGTGACAACGCCGCGTTATGATACTGTGCTTTGACCTGAAAATCAATAATATATACTTATTTAGACTCATTAGAAAACGATCAATTAAATATGCTTGTATTCGTTTTTTTAATAATAAATACTCTTTATTTCTTAAAATCATAAATAAATTTATATTATTTATCACGGCGTAATCGCCCAGAAAGGGCATTTCTACTGCCGCTTTAAGTGAATTTAAACGTGTTTTTATATGGGCAAGATACAACGTACAAAAGCATTACTGCAACAGTTTTACTACAAACACAGGGCTAACGCATTATTAATTTCTATAATGATTAAACATGTCTGTCCGAATATCATATCATAGTAGCCCACAGAGCAACTTGGAAATATTGTTATATTTCTGGCTATCCCCGTCATATAACAATATATCTATTACACATTTTGAAGTTTGGTGGATTCCTAACATCAAATTTACTTCATATTTCCTAACATTATTCTATAATTATTCATACAATTATTCTACATTATTCTGTTTTAGAAGGATTTGACGTTTATATCAATTTGGCCGTGAATCGACAGCTGTATTCAAGAGTATTGCCTTTTCTGGGGTTACGTGAAATCAATGCCGTCAGTCAACATATGTACTATACGAGTTATCTTTGCTTCTAAGTTTACCCGTATTGCCGTTTGGACGAAAGGGTTATCACTGATACTGATCTTTAGAAAAGGAGTAAATGGATACTTACAGTAACAAATACAACGGATACGCAGTTGGCGGAAAGATATTTCATGTTTGTATAATTTATTTTAAAAATCGCGAACTTTGGTTGGCTTGTGGTATCAATGTCATTGTCAAAACTACAATTGGGATAAGAACTTATGTATTTTAACGCGATTGTCATGAACCGTAGATACAATTTATTACTGGGAAAGCGTCGTAAGATATTCTATCCAAAGATTACCGAGCTCGGTATAATACCTATCATTCGAACTCACTATCGAAGAGTATATTGGAATACATTTGGTTATTGGTTTTAAGTCGCTTTTTCTGGAATGTTCTTTTATTAATTTCAAATAGTGATTAAATAGAAGTAAAACTATGAAAAGATACAAATATCAATTGTCTATAACAATTCACCGATATAGTCTAGAATGTTACAGAAGTATGATTTATAAGTCTTTGATTGAAGACTGTTATAATGCTACTTGACAGCTAATTAAACTAACCACCCAGATGTTTGCTCATGTACGAAACTTGTCTATTTCCCATTTAGAACTATAGAATCTATTGCACAATGTAAGATTAAGACTCAAGATCCCAAATTCCCGATAGAACTTTATCGTACAAAAGCTTACGATATCTGAAGATTTTTCAATTTAATCCTACCATATCTTAAAGTCTACAACGTCGCGTTATGATACTGTGCTTTGACCTGAAAATCAATAATATATACTTATTTAGACTCATTAGAAAACGATCAATTAAATATGCTTGTATTTGTTTTTTTGATAATAAATACTCTTTATTTCTTAAAATCATAAATTTTACATTATTAATCACGGCGTAATCGCCCAGCAAGGGCATTTCTACGTGTTTTTATATGGGCAAGATACAACGTACAAAAGCATTACTGAAACAGTTTTACTACAAACACAGGGCTAACGCATTGTAAATTTCTATAATGATTAAACATGTCTGTCCGAATATCATATCATAGTAGCCCGCAGCAGAGCCACTTGGAAATAATGTTATATTTCTGGCTATCCCCGTCATATAACAATCTATTACACATTTTGAAGTTTGGTGGATTCATAACAGCAAATTTACTTCATATTTCCTAACATTATTCTATAATTATTCATACAATTATTCTACATTATTCTGTTTTAGAAGCAATTGAAAAATACATTTTAATACACTCCAAAGTGCGACAAGACAAGTCATATAGCAATATATAAGCAGAGATATAACGAGATTATCAAGTGACAGTCCGGGGCACTATATATCATTATCTTGTTTTGTAATAATGTCGTTTTTCTCTCCCCATTAGTCAATACACGTTTTTTTGTTTAATTGAGGAAATAGGGCAGTGTTTATTGCAAAGGTGTATTGACTGATGTCACACTTAAGTACACAATCAAGATACATGTATATCAATATTCATTATACATCTTATTCTGTATCTCCATAGGGCACATTAACTACTCGAAATCATATATTTCAGTACAATGCAAAATGTACGGTTAAAGCATAAATCAAGCAAAATGATACGACAAAGTGGATACGATAGTATAATTATAAATGCGATCCATAAATTCCTGAACGATTGTTTTTAGGTAAACACATATCGAACTGAGTTAATTAATTGAATTTACGTTTATCATGTAATGCAATCCACATTGATATTCACACATTCCATAGTTGGTGTTTTGCTTCCAAGTTTGGATTGATATAATATATAATATATTCACTCCCACACTGTGCTATTGATTCCCAACTTATTCAAGTACCGATTGTTCTTTATTTTAGTGATTTTTGCTTTCTTTACGTTTGCCAAAGACAAACTCTATCGAGCGTCATTTGTGCATAGGGATAATGAACTTAATAGATCGGATATATAGAGGATATCCTATGATTTAGGAGTGCTATGATTTTTATCCACGAATGGATATGATATCTGCACGAGCGAGCGAAGCTAATTGCTTCAGTTTTGAGTCTGAAGTAGCAAAAATGTTGCCGTATGTCATGGCTTAAACACCGTATGCTATGGTTAAGTGAAAATTTGTCAAAAATATCATATTTTACCACTGATTACAAAAATACCGTTTTTATTTTGACATATTATCCTATGAATATCATGCTAACTATGGAATAATTTGTATTATCCCATGGTTACAAGAATATAGATGGAATATCAGGTGAAGATATATTTGATATGTGGATCAAGATATCATATTTTGGCAAATAATCCCCAAACCATCGAATATCACCTTTTATTCCATAATAACATGTTTTCCCTGGGAAAATAACAGGGAATAAAAGTGTTATTTGAAAAATCCCGTATCAGATCCCGTATCAGCCAAAATCCCGTATCAGATCCCGTATTGGATCCCGTATCAGCAAAAATCCCGTATCAGATCCCGTATCAGAAATATTCCCGGTAATTTCTCTTGAGTTTTACGCTTTTCGTCTAGCACATCTCTACAGGAAGTAAAAAAATCGTTTGGAAAATCGAAATTATTGAAATTATTATCATCTAGTTTACGTCTATTACTGTGACAAAGGTCTATTACTGTGACAAATATGTCTAGGTATGCAACAGAGGATGTTGATGACTTCATTAAAATTGAAAAAAAAATATTATGAAATAAATAGGTTATTGATGGTCGTGATGGAATATGGATTTATTCCTTGAGAAAATATGATATTGGCCTCAGAAAATATCATATTGACACTCGGGCTATCGCCCTCGGTCAATATGATATTTTCCTTGGCCAATATCATATTTTCCCTCGGAATAAAATCCATATTCCATCCCTCCCATTAAATAACCTCTATTTATACCATAGAATATCACTTTAAGAAGTGATATTCGATGGTTTCAAAAGTGATATTCGATGGATTAGATTATTTTCAATTTTCATTTCAATTTTTTCAGTTTTTTTTAAAAAAAAATTTAATTTTTTTTTGTGAAAATATTTTTTACATTTTCCAAAATTAAAAAAAACAAATTTCCAAACTTTTTTTCTCTGAATTTTTCTTTCAAATTTTATTTTTGCTGGGTAATGATTTCCCATGGGATAAACTGACAATCCTATGGCTTTTCAAAAATATCAATTATATCCACTCATGGATATAAATGATATTTTTTCAAAACCATAGGATATTGCTATATAATGTTCCGTGTCCATGTTCTTGAGGCAAATGATATCCTAAGGAAATATTAAACAAATTGGCAACATTACCAAATGGGTCGGATGTTGCATATATAGCCTTATCTGATATGAAGTAATTAACTGAGATAAATATAGAATTGAAGTGTGAACGACATTTGATATCTTAGTGTATTTAAAAAATAAAATGGAATCCAATAAAATTTCATGAAAAGTTAACATTTCGGCCATTATACATAAACGCAAAAACGGTATCCAATTACTATGATATGCTACATGTACATATACATACGTAATATATATTACTCTAAAAAAGTTAAAGAACACTTTTACTTGTACTCAAAGTAAATATCAAAGCGGTCCTTAACTTTTTTAAGCAGTATATATACACGAATCGGGCCATCTTGTACCCTGTTGATTAATTATCATTATGTAATATGTATCACAAAAGATAACCCGTAATGTAGGGTTGCAGATATTTTCAATAGAGTGTCTGAATCCGGATTTTACTTAAAAAGAAATATCGGGTAAAAACTTGCCACCTGGTGTTATTATAACCAATTTCGCCAACAGATTGATAAAATATTTGTATTTCATATAAAATAGATAACCAAATAAGCAATCACGATGGCTCGAACACAGAATATAGAACTCAATTTAGAAAACATTGTCAATTTTACGAACCAATTGTATATTTTCCGTTATTGGTTACCAAATCAATATCATTACAATATATTCTAGTACTACAACAAATAATAATACTTTCTATTTTCTATTTTCTTCAGAAATGACATCAAACAAGTAACCAAAACGAAAGCTAGAGTCTTTAGAGAAGTCATGTTCCTTTTGAGTAGAGCTATCAATGCTTTTCTTACACACCTTATCGGTGGAGCTATATCTGTACGGAGTAGTAATTAACCGAGACCTGAAAAGGGAGAGCTTGGAGATCTATCAACGTATAGAGTATAGTATCCAAACCGATGTGAACTGGATATAAAGGAAGGATCAAACATAATTCATAAGTATTACACGTAGAGAAAGAAGGACAATCGTAATGGCATAGGCAGCTAAGTGACAGCTTTAAGTATTGATTCGGATTACACTGAGATCCAAAGACGAGATTTGCATTAATGTTGTTTGCGGAAGAGGTGAAGTGAAGAATCGCTCCCACGATATGAAGGGTGATGAAAAATTCTCAATAGATTAAATGTTAGAAATGAAATAATGTATCATCAGTAGTGACAGATAGTTTCTTTAGATGGAAGTAAAGATTATTATTGGCTAGAAAAGATTATTAATCATCGAAGAGGCGAGATCCTTGCTAAGCGTTTCAAGGATTACCAAGTTGTTAACAGTTTGGATCGACTCAGGAACACAGAGCGAATTAATACAATTATTAAGTGTTGACATTTTAGATTATGTTCCGGATTGATTTTGATCAGTTTGGCGTTTGAGAGATTGGCGACTACATCGTTTAGCGCAGAAGTCTCTGCAAACTGTCTAGTTAAGGACGAATGGAATTACTTACAGAAATACACAATCCCTGGAGAAGTTCAATGAATGCTATTCCCAGAAAGATCCTTGGGAAAATCAACGAATTTGGCAGAGGTTACTTTTGAGTAAAACCACTGGAAATAAAGATAAAGAAAAGGGACACACGTTCAAAGTGATGTGATACAAACAGAAAAGGACATTTACCAACATATCAGTACGTTTGATATGTGATATTTGATTAAAGGAACATTTATTTATTTAGATATTTAATATATTTTTGCTCAGGATGGAAAATACTACTGATGTCTTAGAGTTTACATCGGTTGGTGATGTTTTTCCAACTGTCGAATTTCCATTGATGGATACTGAAACAAATACCATAACATGGACTGAAAACAATTCACACAACAACGAAACTGCAATTAATGACAGTACTGCCAACATTACAATCTACCCCATGATAAAGCAACCATTGCATATGATTGCGATTTACTCCACGGCTTATGCTATTGTCTTTATCCTCGCATTGATTGGCAACACTCTGGTCGTGTCGCTGGTGTATAACAATAAGCGCATGCACAATGTCACCAACTATTTTATTGTTAATCTTGCGATGGCTGACATTCTTGTATCGCTCGTTAACCTGCCAATAACTCTATTATCTAACATATTCACAGGTAAGCGATTTTCTATATTTATCAATTTAGTTGTTGGTAAAAGGAAGACAAGCACACTAAACGCCAAATCTGCCGAAAACTATAAACACTATGAATAATATCATATTTTGGGCTTAATTCGTTAAAAGATCAGTGTACATATACATGTACATATTGTACTTGTACATCCAACATTATGCACATTATAAGACCAAGCCCAAGCTAACCATATCTGCCCAACCCCTGTTTAAAACCTGTTGTCAACATCGCGAATAGTTTATCCACATATTTTATATAACTTTTTAATTAGGGGTTCATTCTGTTTTGTTTTCAAAATGATACACTGTGAGTAGCTTAAGAATATTATTTGTAAAATACATGGTTTTGATGCAAACAACCCAAAAATACCATACCTCTTATGACACTTTACGATATTAATGATACTGCCCAGGCCCGTAGCCAGGATTTGCCAAGGGGGGGGGGGTTCAGTTTTACAAAATTTCCAAGGGGGGTTCAAATTTGACAATTTTGGCCCAAATATGGCTAAAATCACTTGAGAAGTGCTCAAAATGGTGAAAAACTGCATGATTTTGAAAGAATATTTGGCCAGGGGGGGGGGGTTCGCCTGAACCCTGCGAACCCCCGGCTACGGGCCTGCTGCCTGAAAAGTTATAAAAACAGATAAATGTATATGTTTGCACAAGGGCTGCCAACTGGGAAATACAGGAAAATGCAAAGAAATTACAGTACAACCAGTTATAGGGAAAACAAAACCCAAATAACCCAAAATATGATCTAACATGAAAAGAAACAATGTCTAATACCCCCTCCCCAACCAAGACCACGTGACCGTGTGACATTTCATTCATACTGAAGAACAAAAAAAGAAAAAAAGATTACGACGTCGTAGTTTATGTAGTGTTACGTATTATCATATCTATAAGTGATTTAGTTTAGTTTTCATACTGTAGACCGAATCTGTATAATAATATTTATGGCTGTAATTAATGATAGCAATGCTATGATTTAGTTGCTGGGCAGAGGCTGTTTTATTGTATCATTTATTACATGTTATTCTGCAGATTTTTATGGTTATTGATGTGCAATGATTTATTCCTCGTATGCCATATTTTATACTGCCGGTTTATAATCTTAATTTCCTGCTTTTGTGAAATGGACGTTAGTAGTCACGATTTCGCTCTGGCCACTTCCAATCCCTTGAACTGAGAAATGAAACACAATACAATCGATTTGTAGAAGGGAATTTTATACCTATACTTTACATACTTAGTATTGCTTTATTACAGTTATAATTTGTAATATTGGAGTCATTTTACCCATTGTTTTTGGCGTACAGTTATAATTTGTAATATTGGAGCCATTTTACCCATTGTCTTTGGCGTAGAAATATAAATTGGGGTCATTTTATCCATTGTTTTTGGCGTACAGTTATAATTTGTAATACTGGAGTAATTTTACCCATTGATTTTGACGTACCAATATAATTTGTAATATTGGAGTCATTTTCCCCATTGTTTTTGGCGTATAGTAATAATTTGTAATATTGGAGTCATTTTACCATCTGTTTTTGGCAAACAGTTATAATTTGCAATATTGGAGTAATTTTCCCCTTTGGTTTTGCCGTACAGTAATAATTTATAATATTGGAGTAAATTTACACATTGTTTTTGGCGTACAAATATAATTTGTAATATTGGAGTCATTTTATCCATTGTTTTTGGCGTACAGTTATAATTTGTAATATTGGAGCCATTTTACCTAATGGTTTTGGCGTACAGTTATAATTTGTAATATTGGAGCCATTTTACCTAATGGTTTTGGCGTACAGTTATAATTTCTAATATTGGAGTCATTTTCCCCATTGGTTTTGGCGTACAGTTATAATTTGTTATATTGGGAGTAATTTTACCCATTGTTTTTGGCGTACAGTTATAATTTGTAATATTTGGGTCATTTTACCTATTGCTTTGGCGTACATTTATAATTTGTAATATTGGGGTCATTTTACCCATTGTTTTTGGCGTACAGTTATGATTTGTATTATTGAAGTCATTTTACCCATAGTTTTTGGCGTACATTTATAATTTGTGTAATATCGGGTTCATTTTAACCTAATGTTTTGGGCGTACAATTATACTTTGTAATATTGGGGTCATTTAACCTAATGTTTTTGGCGTACAGTTATACTTTGAGTAATATTGGGATCATTTTACCTAATGTTTTTGGCGCACAGTTATACTTAATATTATTGGGGTCATTTTACCTATTTTTCTCGGCGTAAAATTATACTTTGTAATATTGGGGTCATTTTAAATAACGTTTTTGGCGTACAGTTATACTTTGTGTAATATTGGGTTCATTTTACCTAATGCTTTTGGCGTACAGTTATACTTTATGTAATATTGGGTTCATTTTACCTAATGTTTTTGACGTACAGTTATACTTTGTAATATTGGGGTTATTTTACCTAATGCTTTTGGCGTACAGTAATACTTTGTGTAATATTGGGTTCATTTTACCTAATGCTTTTGGCGTACAGTTATACTTTGTGTAATATTGGGTTCATTTTACCTAATGCTTTTGGCGTACAGTTATAATTTGTGTAATATTGGGTTCATTTTACCTAATGTTTTTGGCGTACAGTTATATTTGTGTAATATTGGGTTCATTTTACCTAATGTTTTTGGCGTACAGTTATACTTTGTAATATTGGAGTGTCATTTTACCTAATGCTTTTGGCGTACAGATATACAGGGTGTTCCAAAAGTAACAGGACTGGTATTGGCATTTTGTCAATTTTGCACTGAGTGTCTTCAAATTTTCATAAATTGTACTTTGAAGTATTGCAACTGAAATTGTAAATTGTCAGAAAAAATGATGAAATGTGGTTAGAGTTATGGTTACTACAGAAACATGACATCCCAATACCCGGGGCAACTTTTTTCCTGAAAATGTGATATTTAACATTTTTGTATTACTGAAGAAAGTATCTAATTCACCTATCATAATACAACATTTCTTGTTTATTTTATTAGTTGTTTTGTTGTAAAATGTTGCTATACAACTCAGATTCAAGTATAATTTCATAATAATAATATCTATTCAATTTCGTGGAATATCACTATGTATAACAGTCTGAACAATTCACAGTTGAGTTTTATGAAGCCAGTCATTTAAAGCCAGTCATCCACCTTGATAGCGCACCTGCCCGCAGGTCACCATTAAAGACCATGCAGCTATAGAGGAGCTAGGTCTTGAGGTCTTAAACCATGCACAATACTCTTCTGATCATGCAATATCTAATTTTTACTTATATTTAGAACGGAATGCTAATCAGTGCTGTAAAACCTTTAAAGATGAGAATGACCTTCTCCAAATTGTCCAATCGACCCTGCGTGACATGTCCTCAAATGGGTTCACTCATGTGTTTGGGTCATGGATACAGAGTACCACATTTGTTCTGACCAAAGAGGAGCCTATTTTTCAAAGTAGAGGATACAATGGAATATCAAATGATGTAAAACAAATGTAATTCCCATCAGTTGTTGCGTTTTAACTTTGATATGGCATGTACAAAATGTACAGTTATACTTTGAGTAATATTGGGATCATTTTACCTAATGTTTTTGGCGCACAGTTATACTTAATATTATTGGGGTCATTTTACCTATTTTTCTCGGCGTAAAATTATACTTTGTAATATTGGGGTCATTTTAAATAACGTTTTTGGCGTACAGTTATACTTTGTGTAATATTGGGTTCATTTTACCTAATGCTTTTGGCGTACAGTTATACTTTATGTAATATTGGGTTCATTTTACCTAATGTTTTTGACGTACAGTTATACTTTGTAATATTGGGGTTATTTTACCTAATGCTTTTGGCGTACAGTTATAATTTGTGTAATATTGGGTTCATTTTACCTAATGTTTTTGGCGTACAGTTATATTTGTGTAATATTGGGTTCATTTTACCTAATGTTTTTGGCGTACAGTTATACTTTGTAAATTGGAGTGTCATTTTACCTAATGCTTTTGGCGTACAGATATACAGGGTGTTCCAAAAGTAACAGGACTGGTATTGGCATTTTGTCAATTTTGCACTGAGTGTCTTCAAATTTTCATAAATTGTACTTTGAAGTATTGCAACTGAAATTGTAAATTGTCAGAAAAAATGATGAAATGTGGTTAGAGTTATGGTTACTACAGAAACATGACATCCCAATACCCGGGGCAACTTTTTTCCTGAAAATGTGATATTTAACATTTTTGTATTACTGAAGAAAGTATCTAATTCACCTATCATAATACAACATTTCTTGTTTATTTTATTAGTTGTTTTGTTGTAAAATGTTGCTATACAACTCAGATTCAAGTATAATTTCATAATAATAATATCTATTCAATTTCGTGGAATATCACTATGTATAACAGTCTGAACAATTCACAGTTGAGTTTTATGAAGCCAGTCATTTAAAGCCAGTCATCCACCTTGATAGCGCACCTGCCCGCAGGTCACCATTAAAGACCATGCAGCTATAGAGGAGCTAGGTCTTGAGGTCTTAAACCATGCACAATACTCTTCTGATCATGCAATATCTAATTTTTACTTATATTTAGAACGGAATGCTAATCAGTGCTGTAAAACCTTTAAAGATGAGAATGACCTTCTCCAAATTGTCCAATCGACCCTGCGTGACATGTCCTCAAATGGGTTCACTCATGTGTTTGGGTCATGGATACAGAGTACCACATTTGTTCTGACCAAAGAGGAGCCTATTTTTCAAAGTAGAGGATACAATGGAATATCAAATGATGTAAAACAAATGTAATTCCCATCAGTTGTTGCGTTTTAACTTTGATATGGCATGTACAAAATGATATGGGATGTACAAAATGCTTAATGTCTTAATAACAGGATCTTAAGAGGTTCTGGACAAATCATTTGATTCTGGACTTGTCATATTTTTTTTTCAACGAAATCACATCCAAGGGTTGAAT